GAGGCTGTAAATCTTTACGGGAGCAGAAAGCCTCATCTTTCTCCCGCAGAACAGCTGGTAGTTTCGAACTGCTGACCTTAAGGTTCGCAGCCCGATTCATAACCACTATGCTACCAGAGCTTCTAGTGAAGCATATTAGGGGAGTGCATTCTATTCAGTCCTGGTGTGGCATTGTGGCTTAATGCGCTGGATTGCAAAGTTGGTTTGAACTGCAATATCATTGGTTCAAGCGTACCAGCCACTCCTTGGAAACCCTATACAGAGTCGCTGAGTCGGAACTGACTTTACAGTACTTAAAAACAATTCTACTCAGAGGGAATTGTATTTGCAAAGATTTGGAGATGGGACAGTATGCCACCTCAAGGAGTCAGGGTAGTGCTAGGGAATGAATAGAATTAGATATTGAAGGGCCCCATTTTATGTGAAAGGCTATGTCCTGTTAGAACATAGAGAACCTCTCAAGACTGTAGAGGTGGGTGGAGTAAGACTTTTTAAGTCACTGGCAGCACCAGAGGTTGGACTGAAAGGAGTAAATGTAGAAAACAAGGAATTCTTTGAAACAATCTAGACATGAACCAAGTAGTATCTGAACTAGGATAATAGTTGTAAGGGTAAGACAGATTTGAAGGATAGTAAAATTAGTGGGTTTTGTTGTCAAAGTAGAAAGTGGTAATGACTTCCAGATTTCTAGGTTGGATCACTAGTCAGATAGTGATACCATTTCCAAGATAAAGGTTTTGGACCAGGGGAATTCGAGGTGAAAATTGTGTTTGGAGATGTCTGTCAGTTCCAGTTGAGTCAATTTCAAAGTGAGTGACCCATGTATGTCAGAGTACAACTCTGCTCCATAGGGTTTTCTTGACTATGACCTTTCGGTTAGTAGTCCAATACTTAACTGTTTGTACCACCCAAAGCTGGTGGTACCTATTGACATTCAAGTGGAGGATTTAGTTGGCCATTGGCTCTGTGCACGTTGGACTCCCCTGCCCCTCATGGTGCATAGGTGTGCGCATTCCATAGTCTAGGCTAGAGATTTCTGTCAGGCTCTTGAGAAATACCAGCATCTATGGGGTTGTAGAAAAGGATAAGACTAGACAGAGGGACATGAACATCTGAATAGCTCAAGAAAAATAATATTCAGATGTCAAATGTTAACAACAAAAATGGCTAAGATGTTTCTTGCCTTTAGAATTAGGTGGTCATATGAATTGTTTCAGTGAAGCAGCGACAAAAGCGTGACTATACAGATATTGAGGAATGCAGTAAAAGCAGGTGTTGCTTATGAACCTTAGATGGGAGAAAAATTAGCTAGAAACTTTGTGTTTGTTAAGTTATATGTACATATTTCTGCTGAGGAGTGAAGCTGATGAAGAGGGACTGATTTTTTACAGGAAAGGAAAAATAAAAAGGAAACACATCTCATTATTTTATTGTCACATTTTATGTTACCTGTTGAACGTTTCCCCCTTTTATGGCAAGTTATAGTAATCTACTTTTTAAATTCCATAGGTCAGTTACTGTTCACTGGATAATTATTATAGGGTTATATTTCAAATTAATATCTTTTATTATTAAACTGTTCAGATTGTAAATTAATGGAGAAAAACATTAAAGTTATTTCTAAATTAAATTAACTCTAACATAGATGAAAAATGTGTTTACTGCTTTCAGTCGACCTGATAAAAAGCAACGTATGGTAAATATTGAAAACTCCAGGCATCGAAAACAAGAGCAGAAGCCCCCTCAGCCACAGCCTAATAAAAGGGAAGGTAAATGGCATAAATATGGTCGCACTAATGGAAGACATATGGCAAATCTGGAGATAGAATTGGGGCAGTTACCTTTTGATCCTAAATATTGACCATCATGATTAAGTTAAAAACTGTAAGCAAAACACAATGATTTCTACAATGTTTGGTGTTGAAACTAAGGTCAAATTATTGAGATGACAATGTTTTTATTTCTAAGTATCAGTTTGATGACTTTATACTATTACTAAGAAGCATCAATCAAAAGCTTACTAGCCTGCATTTTCCTGTAGTTTAGCTGTGCTGAATTTTTTGGTGCTGGAAATGTTCAACTGTAAGTTTTATTGTTAAAGAAGCCAGGCATGCCATAGATTTCATGCATGAAGTGAGACTTCTTTTTAGTGTATGAGCTTAAAAAGCAAGCTCACATCATATATGACAAAATGTATTTAACACTGATATTTGTGTTAAGTTTGCAATAGAACTTGAAGAAAGTACATTATGATGGAATTTCATCTATAATATTTTATAATCTTATACTTGCTTCTTGTCTTTTTGTGGGTTCAAGAGCCCGCTGACTTGTGAAGAATTTGCTGCCTTCTTATGAGCTTGCTGACTTATTCTCTTGTGAAATTTCTTGCACATCTGAATATTGTGGAAGAAACAATAAAACTACACCATGAGGAAAACTAAAGGTCTTTATTTTAAATCTGGCACTGTATTAATATGTGAGTTCATACTGGTATTTTGTATATTTCCTCAGTAGTGCTATTTGGTAAAGCTTTTCATAGTGATTTTATGCTAGTTCCTTGAATTGTACCCAGTGTTTACAGAAGTAACATCTGACTAGCATCGGAGTATTTCTACCTAGCAATGTCCGTTTCTCTGGGAAAGATCTAGGCACAGCTCAGAATTTCATCTGTTGAGTTTTCCTTTTAACTTCCGCTCATAGATGTATATGTGACTTCCAATTCGACCTTCTGGCCAATGAGTGTGGAAAATTACAGCAGTTTTTTCATAGCTTCTTGAAATTAGGAAAGCACTTATTTTCTACAAGTTAAAAAAAAGAAAAAGAAAACACGCCCATCAGTAAATAAGGTTACATTTTTCTAAGAAGAATTTCAGAATGACCTAATTTCTTTACTATAACTGTCTTCTTAATAATCACATACTTTCATAGTTACAAAACTGGGGCTGATCTTAACTGGGGAAAAGACAATGATAAAATACCAATATTATCTTTTTTACTGAGTACTTGCTAAACCTGAAGTGAAATAAAAATATTAAGAGTTTTCCATGCTTACTTACCTCTTCTAAAACACTGAAGATGATCAAGTGAGTAGGCAATGAGGAAACATTGTGAAACTCTTTATATAACCAGCTTAAGGGATTTAGGTAAAATATATCTGCTTCATCAAGATAATGACTTTTTCCAGTCAGGTCTGGGGGACATTGGAGAAATCTCATTGGAAGTGGGCAGTGAACATGGCTATAAAAATAAAGTTGCAATTATAATTATGAGTTTTAAAAAAAGTATTCAAATGTCTCAAGATATTTCATGTTCTGTTATATATGAAGTCTAGATCTATAAACCAGGTTCCAATGAATGTAGTTTTCCCTAAACCACGTATCTGTGTAGCAACAGCATTACCTTCATGAAACTCCATTTTACAGTGGTCAGTTACCAGCTTGGGGGACTCAGTTTTCTCTAGCATTAGGAAGCTATTCTAGGAACTAAATGGCCCTGGCAATCAGGTAAATTATTTAATACAGGTGTAATTAGGCTTATTTAGCAAGGTAGAAAACACTGGTCATGAACCACATGACAGGTTCTTCTCTGGTTTTTTTTTTTTTTAATCTTACAAATGTGTCCTGGTGTGGCACAGTAGGATAAGCACTGGGCTGCAAGGTCGGTTTGAACTACAAGCTTGGCAGTTCAAACTCACCAGTTACTCCTTGGAAATTCTATACAGGGTTGCTATGAGTAGGAACTGACTGGACAGCATTTAACAACAACAAATAAGAGTTAGTAGACAGCAACATATGTTCCTTTATTAACATCTACATAAATAATGGTTTTACTGTGGCTTGGAAAGACTTTGTTGTTAAGTGCCATCGAGTCGGTTCCGACCCATAGCAACCCTGTATAGGGTTTCCGAGGAGTGACTGGTGAGTCTGAACTGCCAACCTTGCAGTTCCAATGGCTTTGCAGTCTGGCGCATTAACCCACAGTGCCACACCAGGATTCCTGGAGAGACTAAAGTGCTTAAAAACGCTTTAATCTCTGACGTCAATCGTGACAAATTTAACTGAGCTACTTGGGTCATGCAAAAAGCCATGTTTACAAGTTTGCCTCAGAAAAAAAAATTAAACTGCACTTGATACAAAGAGTTAAGATGTCCAATTAGAAAGAAAGCTAAGTAATTATACAGTGGAGGCTTATTTTATCTATGAAATGCAAAGTAAATTTGCTCAAGATCTAGTAATTTTCATCTTAAATTTCATAACCATTTTGGAGATGTAGGTTCTGCTCCAAAGCAGGCACTGCATTTTTTTCCTCCGTTGTGTGCTTTGAGAGAGTTTACGGTGAGCTTGGTATATACAACGCCTGAGATGACCACTATAACTATGCATAGGGAGCATCGTGGTAACTCAAGAATTGATGATATTCTTTGTAGTGTTATCACTAGAGTGAGGGAGAGAGGAAAGTACCTCTCTCAACCATACTCTTAGTTTAATGTGGTTGGAAATCCTTGAGGTCTTCCGTCTAACATGTGGTTCATGGTAGACTATTTTCCAAATGGTTGAATAACTGGTATTAGATATCCAGTTGGATAGATATTCCAAACATGTTTAATTCCACTAAAATTATGTTTATGTGCATAAGTCAAGTGCTCTGATGTGCACACATGAAAAATGAATTGTTTAAAGCCAGAATGAGTTAAACAGGAGTAGAGCTTTGTGTAGGAAAGTGAAAGCTGGCAGCTTTGTCCTACTACCATCATTAGGCAAATGGAAGGAAGACTTGCTGAGATACAAAGAACAGAGCCAGTGGGAAACTTTAATGTCCTGCATGTTTGATGTGATTTTAGCATTTTACATTTTCAGAACCACTTAATTCAAGCATAGAACACCATCTAATTCAATTCCCTAATTTTATATAGATAAGACAACTGATGTTCAAAAGACCAGTTTTAAGTTCAGGACAACAGTCTTATTGTAAATGATTAGAATCCAGTGCTTTGAAATTAACCCAAAATAGTATAAGTAAAAGATGTATCAAAATGATTTGTAGAAAGATCAGTGATAGCTGAATTTCTTTACTGAGAAAACTATCAAATGCCTATAAAATGATTTATCCCACATTTAAATCAGATTCATTTGAGGGGTTTATTTACATTAACAATAAAGTTTAAAAAGTGATACATCATTTTCATTGATACATTCAAATGATTTCTAAAATCAATCAGTGAATAAATAAGAGTGAGTTTTGAATTTCCTGAAACCATTTGATCACTGATCAATAATAATTTAAATTCAGAGTCTAAAAGGGAATGTTTAAGTAGTCTGTCTTAATAGTAGAGAACCCTTTATTACCTGTAGTAAGGAGTAGAGTGGCAAGGCATCATTACGAACACTGAAGCTGAAGATGTATTATGACTCTTGTAACAGAGTTCTTGAATGTGGCTCATGACATCAAGGGTACCTCGCTGATGAACTAACCCAGTGTAGAGGGCAAGGAGCATGTTTGATAAAAACAGGAAACTTGCAGCTGGTTTCTTCCAGATCTTCAGGTGGTTTAGTGAGTATCCTGTATGAAGATGCACACACTGACCTGTGACACTGGCAAGCTTTTGTTTTCTTATAGTTAATGCTAACTTGCAAACACGTTTCTAATTTTAATGATACCACAAACTGAAATGTCCGGGGCAAAAAAAAGAGGAAGAAGTATGTCATCTTCATAATTTACCTAACTATTCACTATCTTTATCCATTGTCATCCAGGTCTTAACTTTTTCTAAAAAAAGACAGTTATAATGAAGAGAGCATAGCTATGATGACCAACAGTTCCACAGATGAATTCTATCTCTGGCACAAGTTGCTTTACTTTGTTGTTGTTGTTGTTGTTATTAGGTGCCATTGAGTTGGTACTGACTCATAGTAACCCTATGCACAGCAGAACGAAACACTGCCCGATCCTGGGCCAATCTCACTACTGTTGCCACGCTTGAGTCCATCGATGCTGCCACCTGGCCAATCCATCTCATTAAAGCTTTACTTTAATGAGTATTAATTTCCCATCTGCAAATGGGGAAACAGTACTTTTTCCAAGTATTAGAAAACATATGCATGTCCGGTACCTGCCCTAGTTCGTAAACAAACCCAGTGCCAACAAGCCAATTACGTCTCATAGCAAACCTATACAGGGTTTCTGAGAGTAAATCTTTACAGGTGCAGACAGCCTCATCTTTCTCCTGTGGTAGTTTGAACTGTTGGTCGTGCAGTTAACAACCTACCACCTATCCCCTAGCTCTTGGTGCACTGTTGTTAAGTGCTGTCAAGTTGGTTCCAACTCATAGAACTCTGTTAGGGTTTCCAAGGAGCAGCTGATGATGCATTGTAGTTACTACATAAATAGGAGCTTTATTTATCCCACTATCTATCTCTTAGTTTTAATCTTTCAAGTGCTAGTGTGAATATGTTATGTGCATATGAGTCCCAGTAATTCTAGGAGCAGCAGATAATGACTGTTCTCTTTATACAAATATGCCATTGAGCTGCCGGGAGATTCTCAGTAGTCAGTGTATGTATGAGCAGTAGCACAGACCTTGCTCTGGAACAAAAGGTGCTAACACCTTTTTCTTTTCCCCTTTCACTACTGGGCACTTTGGATACGCTGAACAATTTTTCTTCAACTTTTATTTGTAAAAGTACTTCTTAGAACAATCAGTCCAATGGCTTAATGGATCACCTGACCATCACTCTGCATGGCCCTGAAGAGCTAGATTGTGCCCTGGCTACCACTACCAACTGCTCTGAAAGGGATCACATTAGAAGGTCCTGGATAGAGTGGGAGACAATATGAAACAAAACTCAAAATTATAAAAAAGACTAAGCTTACTGGTTAGATACAGACTGGTGGAATCCTGAGACTGGCCCTTGGTTACCCTTCAGGTTTGGAACAGAACTCACCCCTGTGGCTCCATTTTCAGTCAAGCAATAGACAGGTCTAAAGGGGAGACAGCAACACTGATGAAGTATGCACACCATAGATAGGTCTATAGGGGAGACAGCAACACTGATGAGGTATGCACACCATAGATAGGTCTGTAGGGAAGACAGCAACACATGAGGTATGC